ACTGCTCATTTTCTTTAGAGATTTGTTCTTCTTTGCAACTACACGTAGTGTCTGCAATCCCTGTATTTTGCTCAGGCATTTCTTTTGTCAAAGAGGTTGAATAAAATGACACAAATCCTACTGGGCAGCTGATACCATCAGAATATCGGCTGTTAAGAAGCCTCCCATGGTTTCAGCAAGCCTCATTTGTCAAGCAAAGTGTTCAAAGTCCAATTTTGGAAGTTCTTTTCATATCACTCAAGCTGATATACATCCCACTGCATTGCAAGGGTGTGCCTGAAATTAAAGTGGGGCTGTCTACTCAGTCTTCCCCAAACCATTCATGCAATAGCAATATACTGCCAGAGCAAAGTTCATAGCTTTTTGACAGAAGTGCTTGTGAAGTCTGAATCCGACAATGATGATGATAATAACAATAACAGTATGACTAGAAAAGTACAGAAGAAAATAGTGCTTAATATCAAATGGGCTCACATACATTGCAAGCAGTAAACAAAAGGGGAAATTAAAACTCTGTAATTACATGTTCACAAACGATGTTTTCATGAAATGTAAACAAATACATTTTCACACATGGAGGTAATGTATACATGACTATAAAGAAAAAAAAATAATTTAATAAAATGCTTGAGAGATACTGGGTTTGGCAAAAATGTCTGTACAATCCAAACTCACAAATGGGGACTGTGCAGGTGGGAGAGAGTCTTGGAGGAAGTAGTAGTGAACACCTCACTACCGACTGAAAAATTTTCAGGACTGTTGATCTTTCCACTGATAATATCTAAATTTATCCTTTTTAACTTGACTATTTTTGTCATTTAATTTTGAACTACATTTTTATCAGCAAATTTTAATTTGTAGATGTGCAAAAAGGACATCCATCTCTAGAAATGAACTATTTTACAGCAGTGATATGTAGTAGACCAGAATTTTGATGTATGTCCTTGGATAAGCCCCATACCTGTGCAATAATTAATTTTAAAGAAAGCAGGCCTGTGTCAATTTTGGATGAACAGCTGTGCCCATCAACCACATAACTGTATACACAGAAAGTCAATCAGATGTGCAATGCATGGTGTTACTCCTCTGGTAACCACAATCAAAGGAAAACTGGAATTTCACTGTATGCTCCTGGCAGGCAGGGACAACCAAGCCCATTATCACATTTGCTAAGGTAGTTGAACTAATGATCACTGAATATTTAATAAATACCACAGGTATATTAAAAGTCCGTTCCAACTGTAAGGATTCTATGATTTTATGATGCTGCATTGATATTCCAGGCTGCATAGCCTGCTGTAACATTTTTCTAGCATTGAGGTGGGCTGATTATGGAAGTGGTAGAGTCCTCATCCCAGCAGGTATTTAAGAAATATGTTGGACATGGCACTAAGGGACATGATTTTATGATGGGACTCAATAGGTCAGGTTGATGGTTGTACTGGATGGGATTGAAAGTCTTTTCCAACTTAGATGATTTTGTGATCTATGACTCAGCCCACAGATGAGGGCTGTGACAAAGGAGCACGTGGCTTTACTTCCAGCCCCATGCCTCCCTTCTCTTTGCCTGCCTTTCCTTGACAGGTCGTCTTCTTGCTTTGTTCTGATGTAGTGTTGTAGTCCAGCTGAAAGGCATCTGCCTTCAGTGAGAGCAGTAAATATTTAAAAGCTACCTAAATTTGATATAAAGTTGTTCAAGGATAACTATTGGAGAATGCCAGAGAAGGACTACAAACATGGTGAAGGATCTAGAGGGGAAAACATATATGTGGAATGGCAGAGGTCCCTTAGTTTGTTCAGCCTGGAGAAGAGGAAACTGAGGGGAGACCTCATGGCGGCCTATGGCTTCCTCACAGGGAAGCAGAAGGGCAGGTGATAATCTCCTCTCTCTGGTGACCAGTGATAGAACCCAAAGGGATGGCATGAAGCTGTGACAGGATAGATTCAGGCATATCAGGAAAACGTTCTTCACCAGTAGGTGGTCAGGCACTGGAACAAGATCCTCAGGGCAGTGCTCAGGGTACTGAGCTTGCCAGAGGTCAAAAGCATCTGGACAACACTCTCAGATGTATGGTCTAATTTTTGGGTGGTGCTGTGGAGAACCAGGAGTTGGACTCAGTGATCCAACAGTGATCCCAGGGACATGGGTCCCTTCCAATTTGGAATATTCTATGATTCTATGAACTCCTATTTATTGTACATTTATTAGCTTCAATCTGTATATATCACTAATCTGTTGTCTCTTTCAAACCACCATTTATTTGGGAAATCCTTTAAAATATACAAATTAAAGTTTCAAAGAAGAATTTTAGAATGACAACAGAATCACAGAATGACCTGGGTTGAAAAGGACCACAATGCTCATCCAGTTCCAACCCCCTGCTATGTACAGGTCGCCAACCAGCAGACCAGGCTGCCCAGAGCCACATCCAGCCTGGCCTTAATGCTTCCAGGGATGGGGCATCCACAACCTCCTTGGGCAACCTGTTCCAGTGCCTCACCACCCGCTGTGTGAAAACCTTCCTCCTAATATCTACAGATTCACAGAATGGCCTGAAAAGGACCTTTTTTTTGTTTTTGTTTTTTTCTCTCAGAGTATTTTTAGCACAACTTTTCTTCGTAACTGATTTCCACATTTCAAGAACTCAAACAGCCACCGTAAGCCAGGTACTGTAATATCTGCTCTACAGCAGCAGCTCTCTGAGCGCTGTTCTGTTGCATTACTGACTGCCCCTTCCTCCAGCACGATGACGGGAGGCCAAGGCCTGGGACAGGGCACAGTAAGGAAAGGTTCACTTGAGATCCTCAGCCGTTGGGTGCTAAAAACGAGCAGCGTTTCAGATTTTATTTAATTCTTAGATATTAGACGTGATATTACAGGACGAAATGCCATCAGTGGATTTCAGAACGGGGTGCCCGGCCTGTCACGGCTCTGCCTCGGGGAGGACACCCTGCCCTGCACAAAGATGGCCGCCCCGCTCCAAGATGGTCGCCCCTCCGGCATCCGCCTGACCTTTTGCCCTCACCTATGACGGCCACCAAGCTGCGGGCGACGTGCCCAAAACAAAGGTGGCCGCCGCAGCCGGGAGTGGTGCCTGCCCTTACCAAAAATGGCGGCGGGCGGAGGGGGGGCGTGGCTTGTGCCCGGGGAGCCGGGCCCGGGGGTGGGGCGGGGGCGCGCCCGGCGCCGAACCGGAAGTGCCGCGCTGCCTCCTCCAGCTGGTTGTCATTTCGTGCGGCGGCTCGGTGCTGAGGAGACGGGGCTCGGCAGCGGCCGGGCGGGGAGGAGGGAGGCACCGGCTGCGGCACCGAGGCAGGAAGCTGCGGCCGCTGGGGGGGGGGGGGAGGGGAAGGAAAGGAGAAAGGGGAAAACAGGAAAAAAAAAGAGAAAAAAAGATAGAGGCGAAACGAGGCGGCGGAGGCTCCGCGCGGAGGACTCGTCGCGGCCGGGCTCGCCGGCTACCGCAGCTTCTCCCGGTGCCGCGCAGCCCTGCCCCCTCTCCCGGCGCTGTCTCCCGCGGAGCCCCCACCTCCCGCCCGGCCGCTGTACATGACGGGGAAGGCAGCCCGCCTGGAGCCGAGAGGACGCGCAGCACGGGAAGGACTGCGCCGAGGAGCCGCCGTCGGACCCCGCGCCCCGGTTAGTCTGCCGGGCCCCCGTCCCGTCATCTCCGGGCGATTTGGGAGAACCGGTTAAACGCCTTCCATGGGGGAGAGAGGAGCCCGGCCCCCCGCCGCCTGCACCTTCCCCTCCCTGCCGGAGGCTGCTCCTCTCCTGAGGTAAAAAAAAAAAAAAAAAAAAAAGAGAAACAGAAAACAACCCCTCCCGCCTTTCCCGACAGACAGACGGACTCTCGCGGGGTGGGGGGACACCGCGGGGCACCCGCAGCCGGGCCTGGGAGCGCAGCACCGCCCGCTGCTGCCGGCCGCGAGGAGAAGAGCCGGCCCGGAGGGAGCCCACGGATCTGGGTGGAAGGAGCGAGCCCGGCACCGCGAACACCCTCCGGCAGCACAGAGGGCGAGAAAACCTCCTTCCCTTTCCTCCTGCGCAGCTCGCTGTCCCCTCCCTTCCCTCTTCCCGAACGCTGAATGCTGATTTCTGAGATGAAAATCCTCTCCGGGCAGCCAGGGCTCGTCTGAAGGACACGGAGATATCGGATCGCAAATAAGAAGTGAGTCTGGCGATCTCAGAAACCCAGCCCAAAAGGAGCAGCATCGATAATCCACCCTTCTCCCGCTCCACTCACTCCCCACCCAGCACACACAGAATACTAATTTCCTGAGATAAGATCTTACCCCTTTAAACGACACACACACACACACACACACACACACTGTATATTATTTCTACACAGAATAGGTTAAACCCAGCAGCACAGTAAAAAGCCTCCTCTGCAACTCACCCCCCCCTCTTCACCCCTCTGAATGCTGAAATCCTGAGGTAAATTTTTTTCTCTTATCCACAGCAAAGACTCTTTCTGAGCAGGACACAAATATATATTAGATTATAGAGATGTATTAAATTATTCCAGATTTAAATCTATTTTTTTGCTGCCAAGGGGTCGGGGGACCAGACGTCATTGTATATTTTTTTTTTGCTCTTAACTCATTTATGGGCAAGTCAAGGCTGCTGAGGAGGAAGAAAACAGGATAGTTAGAATCTCTTTATCCTTATTCCCCAGAAGCTTTTTCTGTCATTGCTGTGCATTTCCTTTAGGAAAGAAAGGAAACCTCTTATTTTGTGAACCAAAGATTTATTTTTCCCTTTCTCTGGCTGAAGGGAGGAAGCGGACACCAATTTACGCATTTAAATAGTTGAAGAGATCTATCTTTTGCAAAAAAAAAAAAAAAAAAAAAAAAATATCTATGATCCAAATCTGAGATAAATTTGCGTGGAGGGAGAAACTGGAATATCTTGCTAAAAACAGGCTACTTGCTAATCTCTCCTTAGAAGAGGAGGAGGTAAACACTAAACATCAACTTGTTCTAACAGGGAAGATTCAAACCCTAAGTATAATAAATGGGGGATTACGGGTTTGGAGTGTTAGTGCAAAACAACACTGGAAATAAGTCAGCTTTTCCAGTCAGATTTCATCCACATCTGCAGCCTCCACACCATCATCAAAATGCAACCCCCAGCCCTGCTGCTTTTATAAATAATAACACAGCTGCCAATGGCAGTAGTGCTGGGTCAGCTTGGCTCTTTCCTGCTCCAGCTGCCCATAATATTCAGGATGAGATTCTGGGGTCAGAAAAATCTAAAACTCAGCAACAGGAAAAGCAAGAGTCCCTAGAAAAACAGCAACTTTCCCCCAGTCAAAGTCAGGAAGCAGGCATGCTCTCTGAACCCGAGAAAGCTAAAACTGAAGAAAATCAGGGCGATAATTCTTCGGAGAACGGCAGTGGAAAGGAGAAAATAAGAATAGAATCGCCGGTGTTAACAGGATTTGATTATCAAGAGGCTTCGGGGCTCGGTACTTCGACACAGCCCTTGACATCCACCGCATCTTCTCTGACTGGTTTCAGTAACTGGTCTGCGGCAATAGCTCCTTCTTCTTCTACGATAATCAATGAAGACGCAAGTTTTTTTCACCAGGGAGGGGTCCCTGCTGCCTCAGCTAACAATGGTGCTCTGCTGTTTCAGAATTTTCCACATCACGTCAGCCCTGGCTTTGGTGGTAGCTTTTCCCCTCAAATTGGACCCCTCTCTCAACACCACCCTCATCACCCGCATTTTCAGCATCATCACAATCAGCATCAACAACAGAGGAGGTCTCCTGCAAGTCCTCACCCACCACCATTTACGCATAGAAATGCTGCTTTTAATCAGTTGCCTCATTTGGCTAATAATCTAAACAAGCCACCTTCTCCATGGAGCAGCTACCAAAGTCCATCGCCTACACCATCTTCGTGGAGCCCTGGTGGCGGTGGATATGGTGGGTGGGGTGGGTCCCAAGGTCGAGACCACCGCCGGGGACTGAACGGAGGGATAACACCCCTGAACTCCATCTCGCCCTTAAAGAAGAATTTTGCTAGTAATCATATCCAGTTGCAGAAATATGCTCGACCCAGCTCAGCCTTTGCTCCAAAATCGTGGATGGAAGACAGCTTGAATAGAGCTGACAATATTTTTCCTTTTCAGGTGAGTATGTTCTATTATACCCATAAGGAAAATAACACATGACTGCATTAAAATACTGTAGAGAGGGTGGAATGGGGGTTTGAATAAAACACGGTGATTGTGTTACTTCTGTGTTTGCAGCTAAAAAAAGCCACACAGCTAACTTGAAATGCCACAGTGTGAATTACGCTGAGCTGTGAATCATGGTGTTTGTTTTTTTAGTAGTGGTGATCGTATAAATATCTATTTCCCACCATACATCTCCAATTAGCCAGTTTCCATCAGCTTAATACTTCTGTTAACAAGTAACTGATGAACAAATCTACATGTAAGCAGCACGTATATCCACTAAGAGGAGTGAGGAAAACAGTGCTGCCTGATGAAGTGTGAGAGATCTTGGGCCTTCTGCAATATCTGAAAACATATTACATCTGAGAAAAGTATTAAGTGATTGTATTTTGCTTTAGAGAATCTCATGGGCTCATAGTTCAGTATAATTTTTGTGATGTTTTTGGGGAAATAATATGTTAATGTGATGATGATCAACACATTTTGCTTTCCTCAGCAATGGCAGCAAATTTTAGTTACAGGCCATTAACTCATTACCCAAAATAGGTTTGGATGAGGTCAGGTGGTGGTCTCCTATGTTTTCAGATGGTCTCATCCTGACAGCAGACTGGTTGTGTGACACTTCAGCTGCTCCTTCTAGGCTGACTTTTTATGAGTTTGAAATGAGCTGTATAATGCTGAGTCTAGCCTGCAGTAAAATCTAAAGCTCTTCATCTGACCACTCATCAAAGCTTGTTGTGTTTTTTTTTTTTTTGTGTGTGTGTGTGTCCACCTTTTGTGAAGTCCTTTTAAGTGGTTTCCAAAGACTATGAGTTCTTTAACGTGAAGTGGATTGCTTTTAAAGGCCTTCAATGAGGGCAAAAGTGAGAATTTTGAAATGATTGCACTGTTGTTAGCTGTGCTGTAAGAAGCAGGGTGACCTACTTCAAAATAATTTGAAAGATTTTAGATAAGAAGCAATATGTCTCATGTTCTAAACCACCTGAGAGATATAAATATGTGTAATAATGACACTGTGGATTCAGACATAGCAGCATTCAGTTCTCCTTAGTGAACTGTTCAGTTTCTGTTTGGCTTGCAGGGCCAGCCTATGCAGCCTTCAGACAGCCAAGCAGCTGCTGGCAATAACTTTCCATTAGAGATCTTTCTTTCTGCTGCAGGGCTGGCTAGTTCAGTATCAGGTACAGTCCATGTAAATTTAGAATGCATAGTAGCACTTGATGTTAATATCAGGATTTGTAATTCATATAATGAACCTGTGTCTAGCAAACTGAGTTTATACACTGAAGCCATTAGAAAAAGGGACACAGCTGTAGTCGGTCTTTTTTCAGCCTCGCTGCAGCACGACTTGGCTCACAGTTTAATTCATTCTTTACCCTGACACGTAGCTGATGCACAGAGTGACAGAATGAGATCAAGCGTGTCCTTGCTGCTGCGTGTAAGGCCCAAATGTCTGAGCACCAATAGAAGCGTGCTTGTTTTGACATCAAGGAAATTTCAGCAAAGTGACAAAGTCAACCTTGACTTTTGGGTTGTGTTCCAACATAAAATATCCGACACGCTTATTTTGATCACAGTAAAGAAATAATTTTTGTGTGTCCTGTTGGTATCTGTTTACATGAATGCTGAAATGAAGCTGTACACGTCAAGACCAAGTCTGACGCTTCTTCATGCCAAGAAAAGGAAAAGTGTTGGAGTGAAGTGCTTTCCAGTCTGTTACAATTGCTTCTGTGAAGAAAAGGGCAGGGCAGCAGAGCAGGACTTCATCACTGCAGAGCTAGAAAGATGGTGATTAATTCTGAAGCCATCTTCACAGAATCACACAATGGCAGGGTTGGAAAGGACCTCAAGGATCATGAGTCTCCAACCCCCCTGCCATGCACAGTGCCACCAACCTTCACATTTAATACTAGACCAGGTTGCCCAGGGCCCCATCCAATCTAGCCTTGAACACCTCCAGGGATGGGGCATCCACAGTGTCTCTGGGCAGCCTGTTCCAGCACCTCACCACTTACAACTTTTTTTGTGTGTGCAAAATCTTCAGCTCCTTTGGTCACTTTGTGCTCTTTTAAATTTTTGAATCACTGGAAACAAATGATGTAAAATTTGACCTTTGTCTTTTTTTTTTTTTTTTTTCTGGATTATTCTGATTGTGTGCCTGACTCAAAGCAGAACTAAGGAGTTTTGCTTATTGTATATTTGTGTTCATGCATACATACATTGATGCGAACTATCCTCAATGATGCAATAATGTACTGGTCAAGGCTATTTTGTTACTGGAATCTTCTTGGATTCCTATTTAGAAAATAATTGAAAGCTGTCTTTGCTGCAGCAACATAATGGGGTAATTTGATACAACTAACCCTTTCATTCAATATTTATGTTTTGCTGCTTAAATCATTAACAAGCGTTGCTGCAGCCTAGTGAAAATGAGTTTCTTTAGAAAGCAAGCTGTAAACCAGCAGTTGCAGATACTTGGGGACCTCTTGTTTTTTCCAAAGGTTGTCTTTTCTCCAAAGCTCAGGGAGGCACAGAGGTCTATGTTTAGATGCAAATCTTAGGGTAGCCAAGCATAAGTGCTAATTTCCAATTTGGAGAGGATGCCATGGCATAATGTCCCCAAAAGCCACCAATGTGAACTGCTGCTCACTTGAAAAAGGTCTGACTTCTGTGTTGAAATAGGCATTCCAAACAGCGCAGATAGAAGGAAAATCCCATGTTGATCTGCTTGATAATCTTACAATTTGGTGGTAGCTTTCTTGGTATTTGAGAGTTACTATAAACCACTGTGGTGTTTGTTGTCTGTATTCTTTATTTGGAATTCTGTCTCGTCACATTTCAGAAGTGACACATCTGTAGGAACCTCGTGTTGCAGAGATGGAACTTGAGGCGAGGTCAGAGAAGACTACTACCAAATGTGTTAATGAAATTAAGTTTTGATATTGTGCTTTAACCGCTGGGCAGCCTTCCCCCTTCAAAGATCTTTTGAAAAGAGAAAAGCCATTGTTCTTTGTGTGTTCATTTGAAAAGGAAATGGTGTCCAAATGAAAAAACGGTTCCTGAATAATAAAAAATAGTTGCGTGTTTTTGGGCACAGCAGTTTTCCCTGGGAATTAATACATGAAAATGTCTTTGACTGTGACTGTTGCATCTTAACAAAGTACTGATTTTTAAAATTATTCCTTCTATTTCCCTCCTCACAGCTCTCACAAACTGAATGTTCAGTAATTGCATTTTGCTGCAGCATCGCCCTCAGGATTGTTTTGGCTTTCCTTTTGCTGTGTGCTTGCACTTCCTCATGAGAGTGGAACATCCTGCCTGTTATGCAATGCATAAATCTTGCTTTGATAGGCGCTTCCAGGTTTCCAGATCTCATCTTCCAGTGTGCGGGGATGTTTTTTAAATTGGTCTTTGAAGGCAAGTTAAGCAATAGCGTTCAACTTTCCATACAAAATAATTTAGAATAATCTGTGTTTCTTCCCGGAATTGAGCTTGACAATAACTGCTCATTTCAAAGAATTTTATGCTGGAGAGCACTTCATCATATCCACTTGTTCAAAACTGTTTTTTCCTTTCTTCTAAAGTGGCTGGTTTCCAGGTACATAACCCCTTCCAAATCCATCGAGGGGCTGTGCCAGAGGGACTTTCTCTTCCTTCAGGCTGATATGGAATGTTTGAGAAAACACATACGTGATTACAGACTGTGTTTTAATTCTGAGCTATACGTCATGGTTTGTTTGCCCATAGAAATGGGTTGATTTAAGAAGTGCATTAAAACAAATGCCCAGGAATTTGGAATTAAAAAAAAAAAAAACAACAAACAAACCTCTTGAATACATTTGCCAGTCTTTCTTCTTGAAGAAACTTTGCAAGTAAATTTCTTTACCATGCCTCTTTCATATTTGCTCTTTGTAGTCGAGGGGCCTTTCCATAAATCACGATGGCTGGTTGCATGGAATGAGGCTGCAGCTTTTGCAGAGCTTTGTCAGATTTTATTCTCCCTTGTAGCGGCAGCAACGATTCTGAGAGATTTCAATCTATCATTTTAAAATAGGATAAATATTCAAAGTTGAATTTTTAAATGTCAGTTCCCCCATTTTTCAATGAGACCATCAGCTGGGTAGTAATTAGTGTTTTGTGTGCTGTTCCCCACAGCTATTGGTTTGTGGAATTAGAAGCGCTCTAATGTGGTACGACGTGCACAAGTTAAGCACTGTGGAAGTTAACGCTGTTCTTGTTTTATAAACTTACTACTGACGTTAATACCTCGGCTTTGGCCCTCCTGTGCGTTTTTGACCTCAGGGTTTCTTTTTAAAGGAGCTTTTGATAGAAGCTATTTGAATTATGTTTGTATTTTCCAAAGATTAAAAGGAGTGCTCTTATTAAGCGTTTTGCTTTGAAAATGAATTGCGTACTTAGCAGCCCGGCACAAAGGCTGAGAACACAAGATATTGTGGATTATATTTTATAGAAGGCACATTAAAAAACTTAATATGTGGCTAACATAGAGTCAGACATGTTACTGAAGTTTTTATGAGGGTCTGTGATTTTTAATGGTTAAATAGGGTTTGACAAAACCAGAAGTGCTTCCTCCTCAAAATGCTCCTCCTTGGCATCACTTCTTCAGCATTTTCTTATGGTTCCCTGGTGAAGCTATAAAGGATGAGCAGGGCAGCGCACAGCAACATCCTTTCAGGAAAAACCTGTTTATTCAAAGCCTGTAATTCGCTGCCTTCTGGATGGGGAGCTGGAATACAGCATTTGCAGGGTGCTGGGAAGGAGGAGAAGCCTATCCAGGAGTATAATCAAGTCCAAATTTGCTTTGCAATTAATAGAGAAATGTGGAACCTGTATGAGTACTTACAATTTACCTCACCCCACACATCTTACTTTGCCCCAGACATCAGGCTTTTTAATTGTGGGAAATAGGTTCGAGGTTTCAGAAAGTTTTAAGCTTCCTGTGCTATAATGAGGGTTGCAAATGTAGTTATAAGTTTTCTAATTTCTGCAAGTATTCTGGTTTCACAAAGCTTTAAATAAAATGAAGCCTCAGCTTTATGGCTGCGCCTACTTCATAAATCCTGCTAAGTCACCTTCAATAAATTGCTTAACTCAGTGCCAGGTTTTGCACTGTTATTGATTCCTCAGTCTTCAGAGAAATTGTGATTTATAAAATCAGGTACAGCCTTGGCTATCAGCAGGAGCTCATAACTTGCTGTGCTTTACCTGTTGGACACTTAGGGGTCTTAGCATTGGCAGGCTCATCCTGGGAAGTGCTGAATGGAAGCTTTCACCTTTTTCAGCCTGAATTGCTCAGGAGATCAGAGTACTGTGGTGCAGATTAATTGTAATGGGTCTGCACTTCACTATTAAAATTAGACTTACATTTTTCTGATGTGTGAGGGGGATTAGGTATGGGATTTGTGAGTGCCAAGCATGATCTTCTTGTGCATCAAATATTCACATTTAATTTCTTTTGTGTGGGAGCATATCCTATCCATTTGTATATCCTTGGTACCACTGTCATTTGTTATTTTTATTTTTTTAATGAAATGTCTTTGGGCTTGGAAAAATAAGAATGGAATAGGAGTAAAATAATGGAGAAACCACTGTAGTCACAGAGTACTTTGTCCTGTATGATCCCACAGCGAAGTCGTGAGTTGGAAGTGCTGGGTTCTGCTGCCTGTGCTTTAGCAATGAGACTGTTAGTATGAGCACTCTACTATTCACGGATGCTTTCTAGACAGTAGAAAAAGTAGGATCCTTTTTATTTTTCTGTAGATATAATTGGCCAGGATTTAGTTCAAAACTGTTGTGTTTGCTGCCGTTGAATGCTGATAGTCCCAGTAGCTCCCAGCCCGACTGCTAGCTGTCACCTCATCTGCATTTTGTGAAAACAATGCCACTTTCTCAAAATGATGTTTAACGAATATCTTTGCAAATGTTGGATGATATTTGAAGTACAGTCATATATTAAGACTTCAGGTTGTGGTTTTGTTTCTTTTTTTCATGGTCTTGTGTTCGATCTGGTCATTCTACTTCTCTGATTTCCCAGGGGTAAACACATGCCCTTTGAGCCCTCTGAGAAAACAGAATTTTAGATGCACTACACCTGCATAAAGCCAAGTTCTTTTGATCAATCTATGTAACTAATACCAGGTTGTAGTTAACTTCCTTTGTCAGTGAAGTGTATATTCTCTGATTCCAGAGTAGTCGTTCCCTGTATATAAATAAGTAAATCAGAATACAGTAAGCAGTCCAGCTCCATGGAAAGCACTGTGACTTTGTGAATCGGTCCATTAAAAGCACCACTGTGTTGTTATTAATTCTTGTTACATGAAGCTTCTTAAGAAAACTTCACTTTTCCCTACTGACTACAGTGTGACTTAAGTGCTTTACAGCTTGTAGTTAGAGTTGCTCTTTCCCATGCTTCATTTCCAGTCTATGATCAATATCTCAATTGTGACAACTTTTTGATGTTTCAGAATTAAATGCATAGTCACACATTTATTTGGCAATAAGGCTACTACCACTAACCTGTCTTCAGTTTGAGTTTCCTGATATATTGGATAAACTATATATGCAAACTGTGCAAATAATTCAAATGTAATATCTGTTCCTGATAGAATGATGGAGTGGCAGAGTTCATACTACGATATTCAAAGAAGTCTCCCTTCAGGAGTACAGCCAAACACCATGTAGCACTTGTACTGGTTCTTATTGCTCAAACTCTCTGTTCTCAGATTGAGCAGTACTGACCCATTGCATCAGGTCCCTCTGTTACTGCAGCTCAATCCAACGTAACAGGTTAGAGACAAGAGGCTTTCTTAGTGCAGCACATGAGAAGTTGCTCAACTTTGGTTTTCCCTTCGTCTCAGCCAACTGAAATGTTAAGTGCCACAAATTTAATGGACTTGAAACTACTGAGGTTCTGCTCTCTGTGAGGTAAGAGTTGTAGAACTGTTATTGGCTTGGAGCAGAGGTTCATCCCGTACACAGAGACACAGTGCAGTACAAAAGCTGGAATAGAAAAATGAGCACCATCTGAACCATACAGAGTTTTCAGACAGTGCTCCCATCTGTAGCTTAGGCTGTTTTTGTCACTTTAGGAACACTGCTGGAAATGTAGAAACTGTCTTCCAGTACCCACCCTGAGCAGTTGGATCTCAGTGGGTTCAGGATGCAGACCCAGAAACTTTTACTCAATCCTCTTAAGTAATTTTATTCTACCAAAGGAAGAAACCAGCTGGAAGTGTGAAACTAAAGAATCCAAATGCCTGCGATGCTTCCTCTAAGGTACATCGATCAGCAAGGAAGTAAATAGTGTGGAGAGAGAGGGCATTATGCTTTTCATAGCAAAATTGATTTGGGGCTAGGCTAATACAACAAATGGTTCCTAACTCTGATCTCTCTAATGCTATTTGAAATGCAGTGCAATAGAGTGGAAATACTTCACCAGTTCTGCATCGGTGATCGACTGTTCTGAGGAAGTGAAAAATGAAGAAAATCTAGTAGGAAAACAGGATTTTTTTTTAGCAGTCGGAATATAACTTCCTTGGAAATGGATCAGGACTCTAAGAGCTAATGGATTCCTGCTCTTAACATAGTATTAAGTGTTTCGAGTCCAAGATGACTGATTATTGTCTGATAGAAAGAATGGCTCTCGCAGCGCTGTCAATAACTGCTTTAGCACTTCGTTACTGGAGGTAGGGAACGTTGTGGCACTCTGTCCTGCACCAGAGGTGCAATTCCCTTTTGAATTCACTCATTTAGGCAGTTGCTTTGCAACTGGACTTAGGGAGAAAAAATATATTTTCATTGCAGTAATAGCAGTAGTTGTAGAGAAGCAGATCAGACCCAGTGTGCGTTGAATTACCTTCTTATTGGAACGGATACCTTCCATGCTTGATCTCTGTTCAGAGATGAATCCCTTAAAACATGGATGAAATAAAACCTTTAGAACTGACGCTAGAGCTATTAGATTCAGAAAAACTAAATGTGAGATTGATTTGTATGTAAAATGGGTAATGGAGAGGTAAATTATTTGGGAAGGAGATTTTTTGCTTCCATTAGTGACCTTTTATCATACTGTAAACATTTCAAAGTTTGGCTAACCCGAATTTGAAAATGAAAATAATGCAGTGCCAGGATATTTTGTGTTGTCTTATGTTAGTATAGCACTGGATTTGCAAGATGTGGAATTTGTTGTTTTAGCTGGGGAAGTCTGAGGCATATCTGTGTTAAGTGGTGGCTTTGGTTGATATGAAGGAGAAATATTTGGGAAGTATACTTCAGTTGGGTTGATATAATGAAATGGTAAGGTGCACGAGACACCTTGCCTCATGTTTTCTGTTTTCATGTTTTCAATTTTAGTAATGCTTGGAATATTGAACTTGTGATTTTGGGGACTTTAAAAATAGAGCTAACTTGTCACCTAGCAAACCAGACTGCTGCAGCGCTGCTACCTGTGTGAAATGCTTTATAATTGTGCAGAATCAGCACTGATTATGCAGAATTAGGCTGTTCATCAGGGTAGTAATTTAGGTGAGAGGAATTCTGTGTGTCATTCTGTGAATTCAAATTTTCTTTAGTTCAGGCTGCAATACCTGTTTTATGACTTCTCTTTGCCATTCTGTCTCCTGGGAGCTGATCTTTACTTCCTGACTGTGGACTCAAATTATTTTTAACATAGTTTATCTGTATAGCAAGGAACACAAACTAAATATTGGAGTTCTTAAACAAATGATTGGTTATTATATATCAGATTCGTATTCTCTGTATTCATATTCTGATACATTGTTCTCTGTATTTGACTGACTGTAGCGGTGTATAAGCATGTGCTGTAGTGCCGTAGAATAAAACAGATTTTTTGTTACAGGTGGCTTTTTTTTTTAACACTATGTTGCCTAAACTATCTTTGTATTTGCTTGCAGGATCGCACGCGGACTTTTGACATGCATTCACTGGAGAATTCACTGATTGACATAATGAGAGCCGAAAATGATTCACTGAAAGGTAAATTTAGAAGGAGTCCATTTCCTGCAGTAAATAATTGGGAAGATGTGCTTGCTTAGGATAAGAAACTGCAGTTTTGGTTAGGAAAAAGTAAAGTTCTGTTGTGCACCCTGGTGCATGTGGGTCAGCTCGGGTAGGCCTGCTGTTTCGGCTGTCCCTTGATGAAGCTACTGCAGCACTGGATGCTGGAGTGTGTTTTGTCTGCATAAAACAATGCAAAACACAAACATAAACCAGTCTTTTGTGTAAGTTGCCAGTGTTGTTTCTAATAGATATGATGTGTGCAGCCTGTAGAAATGATCAGCTTACAAATCTTAAGCAGATTGGTGAAACATAGCTATCAGCTCTATAGTATTTTCCGGCTTGAAGTCATAGCTCTTTCAGTCTTGAGGAAGAATGAGTTTTAGGTATGTCACTGGGAGAATAGAGTATTCCTGACTTTTTATTTTATTTTAAGAAGCTCTTTACCTTTCTACTTTTCTCTTTATTTTTGTCACCTTCATTGCAGAATTTTTTTACATTGAGAAGAGGGAAGGGGGCAGGTTGAACCAATGTGAGTTTGGACTTAACTATTCTTATGTTTTTATTTTTGGCAAACATAATCTTTCTTTGAAATTACAACTGATGAAGTACTCAAAACATTGTCTACATACTTGATTGAAGCCTGATTAGGAACTGCTTATGGGACGGATTCAGAAGTGTAGTTTCTTATTCTGTACAATGAGTAATCTGTGTCAGTTTGAGGGCTAATCATGTAAGTGAAAGTAGGCAATCTCTTATTTATGCTCATTATCCAAGAATTCAGTTTTGTAACCAGTCATGAGACCACTAAGAAACAAAGCTAGACTTGTGGTTTCTAAAAGTAAGTTTCTTTAGATATCAAGGCTTGTGGTGTTAATGAAATATGACTTGTTCTAGTGGTGATTCTTTCTCAGACGAGCAACCTTTGATTAATTGGCAGTAGCTTGTTTCTTGCATTCTCCATAGTCTGAAATGCAGCTTGCACACCCTCAGTTCTGTGCCAGCATGATGAGAAACACCAAGAAATACACTTTCCTATTGAAATGACAAGGGGAGCTGGTGTGGATATAAACTAAGAACAAATAGATTCACAGAAAATAAAAATAATTTCCCACCTTATGTGGTGGGAGCAGGCTTTCATTAATTACAGATAGTAACAGCTTTTGTTTGTTTAGTATGCAGTCTGTTAAATGGCAGCATCATATGCCCCAGCATTGTGTACTGAACCAAGAATAGGGTGCTCTTTCTTGACAGCAGCACCTGGGATTTGCTCTGTGACCTTATCTTCGTAGGCAGGCCCAACCCAAGTTTTAGCTGCTCAGATCTGGCAACACAACAACACAAAATGACATGGCTGGAGGGAAATAAAATCTCTCTTAAAAATTGAGTTAATAAAGTCAGATTGGTATGTATTTATATTCAGCAACTAGATAAGGGTGGTTCTGTAGAGTAGTTTGATATTTTGTTCGAATGCTTTGAAAGGGTTATTTGCAACTGTAATCTTTGGGTGTTTTTTGAGTGCTTTCCATACCTTAAGAATGATGGAATAAGTGTGGCAGTGAAGAACACACATAGTTCTGATACACATTTATTCCTGCTTGAAATTGTTAATCCTTTGCAGAGTCATCTATGCTTTGTGTTGAGTTCTGTAGGTGTTGCATCATACTGACCAGAACAGTGGTATCAATCTGATTTTATTCTGGATGTTTCTTCCTGAGTTCTTTATACATTTTTATGTTTCATGATTAATAGGTGTAAAGCATAAGGAAAAAAAAAGCCTCAGGATGAAGAAGAAAAGTTCAAATATTCCCATGTGAAATACTTGGTTGTTGTGAAGTCTCTTCATTTTTTTCAAGGATTTCCACAGCACAAGTGTTAAGCTTGCTTGTACTCAAATATGCAGAATGCTGAACTTGGTGGCTGCTTATCTGCTGCAGCAGACCTGATACAGAAATGAATTTGCTGTAATATACTTAGAAATGGATCTTTATTCAAACTAGGATCTCCCATGGTGTGGTAATGCTGTAGTGATCATCTGTAAGCAGGGTGGGATTTCTAAGGAGAAAAAATACCTTTAGCTAAATCAAGTGTTAGAACTGGAAAAAAAATTGCACCTTGCCAGTGCAAAGTGCATTTCAACTCTGAAAAAGGGATCACATGTTTGTTTTTTTTTTTTTATTTTTCCCATCAATATCTGTTGGTGTGAGATTGTCTTAAAACAGGTTCTTCTGTTTTCTTTTTCTTGCCTTTATTTAAACTGATTGAAAGGAATCTAAGAACTTCAGATCTGGAATTCCTAAAATATTGTGAATTACAATTGTCAGTTCAAAATCTTCACTCCATTTCAAATACCTGCAGTTAGATTATCAGTTTCATAGGAAGATTTTCATTCTGTATTTTAAATGAGCTAATTTGTGCATGCAATGCTTTTAAACTGAGGTTGGATACTCTCAAAAGGGAAAAGCTTCTGGGTTTGAGACTTTAAAAATAGCCTGGACAAGACACTAATAACACATGCTGCAGAGAGCAATCTCAGAATGGCATGGAAATAATTTAGATGATCTAATAGGTCTCTCTGCTGTCTTCCAAGTCCTTGAGAGGCCGTAATGTTGACTTAATGTGAGTTTAGTACATAGCGCTAACACCAGCCTCTTCTATATTGTAGTGGAGTTCCAGAGAGAGAAAATGTTAAAATATACCTTCACCACAAGAGTATGGACAAGACAGTAGATACCAATCAGTTTGGAACCCGTTGGCTTTTGGGATTTTAAAGAAATCCTTTCTATCTTTTAAAAGCTGTGTTCAAAGCATCAGGTTTTGGATCCTGCAAAATGAATAATCAGGAATTCTTCAGTTTAACCGAGTCCATTCAGTGTGTATTTCTTGACTGAGGTGATTAGCCATGCTTTCAGTTTGTTTAGGAGCCTTATAGTCATGTTATTGTGTTGTCTCGCTATACAAAGTAATGTCTGCTGGGTGAAGTTCAAAGGTGAATCTTAACTACCCCTGATTACTATATTCAGCCTTCCCATTTAGCTCTTCTGATAGGCCTTTTACCGTTTCTTTTCCTCATTCTGATGTATATTTTTTACCCCTGCATGAATCCTCTTCCTTTGCGGAGCAGCTGCCATTTCAATATGTTATTTTTATCCACACAAGTGAGTGTGCTGCATTCTGCACAGCCAGTGACAATCTGCAGAAGCCTTTCCCTGGAGACTAATTGCATCTTCTCCACTGTGCATTCGGCCTTCGTGTGCTGAGCCTGGGATCCAGAGCCTCATTTTTGAATCTGGCTCTTCCAGATGGCAATTTGAGCATTACTGTAATAGTAGTAGGTTGACTAAATATTTCCTTGTTAAGTGACACTGAAATGTCTTTAAATACTTTACAGCAGCAGACTGCTTTATTTCTGAAATACCCTATGGTTCAGCTTAGGGTGTAAGGCTTTTTGCCTGCAAATTGCTCAGGCTGAAATTGAAGCAGACCAGCACATCTGCTTATGGCACTGCAAAACTCTCTAAAATTTGGGTGTGAATGGTTCATTATCTGTATGAATGCTGCATGGTAAAAAAACAAATGTAAATATGCACAAAAAGAAGTGTTTCAGAGGTAGGGCAAGGTCAGAGTCTGCATACAGACACCAGCAGAGCGAGTCAGCCAGCAGCTCTGCATTTTAGAGGTGCCAAAATGATGAGAACTGGCACCATCTGGGGCTTTTCTGACTGAAATAAACCCAATTGTATATTGAAAGAAGTCATCAGCACCTTAATATTGATCTGAAAAACTATTTCGGCTGTAAAGAAAGTAGGTGGGGATTCCACAGTGAATCTTAAAAAGTGTTCTGTGATCAAAAGGAGGAAAATTGTTTTGACAGCATTTTTGGAGTGCTGGAGAAGATGAACTAGATGTTTCTTTTCTAGCTGTATGGATTATGCAACACATTCATATTGAGTAAAATGGGCCATTTCCTTTCCTGTTATGAACCAGAAAATTAGTGAGAATATGGCCCAATTTTTTGCTACGGGCTCCATAACAAAGACTGTGATCCTTTGTAGACAAGTGGGCCCTTTATGTTTGCATTGACAAACTGAGCTTTAACTGAGGTTTAGAATCTAAAATAACAGATGGTTTTTTTTAAACATCTTTACGTTTTCATAGCAATGAGTAAAGCTTTAATTTGGTGGCCAAGATGAAACTTTCTTCCCTCTTGTTGTTGTGTGCAGTTACACAATCAGGAGCGGTCTGGAACTGGATGATGTTAAGGTCCCTTCCAACCAAAACCATTCTCTTTACTGAGTCCTGAAAGTCAGAGGGCTCTGGCAGAGTGTGCATCTGCAGCCCAATGCTGCAGGTGTCCTCATGGCCTCTGTGAGCGTCCTGTCCAGGGGAAATGTTGTGGTCTCCCCTCAGGCTGCAGGAGCAGCATCAGCACTTGTGTGCCTGCCATCAGCTATCTTTATTGAAGGATCATTCCCTTCCAACATCGATGTGCCCGACTTACTGTAAATTGTGCAAAAACTCCTCTGCTGCTTCTGGCACCAGCAGGGCTTGCTGTAATGGTCTTTAGGACTTGGATATTTTTTTTTTTTTGTGGGGGATCTTCCTGAATTTCACCTCCTACGCTGTAACCAGGAAAAGCTGACAGCACTTTCAGGCTGAGGTGCATATTAATTAAGGGTAAAACCAATTGTGACGTTGTTTCAAGGTACTGCTGAAGTGGATCTAACAGCAATAACCCACACCCTGTGCTGACAGAGCTGTGGTGTGGAAACAGTCCGTGTGGTTGTTTGCCATCAGCAGCTCCCGTTGCTGTTGTAGCCACAGTTCTCAGCTGGCTTAGAACAGAAGTTCTGTAAGTGCATAAGGGCATGCTTTATTTGTGAATATATCTGATGTTCATAATTTTATGATATTATAATATTCAATATTTTAACTTCTTAGTCTGTTGCTGTTCTTTTCCCTCAGCTCCTCTCACATGT